AAAAAAAATGATTTAGTTTGCTTCGGTATCGGTTACATCCTTATCCAACGAAGACGCCGCATGGGATGGGACATCTCTTTTGATGACCTCTCGGCTACAGCTGTTGATGACGATGCATTAAAGGACCGCTACTCCATACAAGGTCTGGAAAGCTTACATACCATAATTGTTATTAGTAAAAATCTCATTATGGCTAAATTTTGTAGCATTTGAATGGCTGCAAGAATGTTACGTTCGACAAGTGATAGTGGAGTTTGCGCCCGGTATTCTGACTGTAAGAAAGCCACGAGGACATATTTTGAGAAAGATGATTTTCCCGGAAAACGCCGATGTACGTAAAAATTGTCATTCTCCTTCATCTCCACATTATTGTATAAAAAAACTGTAATATTTTCCAGGTCATAGTCTATCACAGTCTACCCAATGCGTCAACTATTCATGGACCCTATTGCCTTATCAAGCTGAGGAAGACGCACGACTTGGTAAGCATAAAGTTAAATTTTCTGGCAATAAGCCAAATTTGTGAAGAAAATATTATTTTCAGGTTCTCCGTTTGCCATCCGACAAACATTTGCCCGAGTTCTTGGCTGCACTCACTCTTTGTCTGAAGAAGTTTGATGGTCGAGTAACTGCTATCCCCACACCGAATGAAATTCTATTGGATAAGGCTGAGACCAAGGTGGGTAAAGAAACGGAACTTTTGCGCACTCAGTACAGTAACAGAGCGGTCATTTTGCACCAACAGTGTGACAGTAACCCGGTAAAGCAACCAAATTTGGACAAAACCGGTGAGATTACGATAGCATGCAATAGTTGCCACAGCTACAATATTGTAGCGGTCATTCTGCACCAACAATACAGTAATCTTGGTAAAACTATTATTCCCATTTTTCCTGTCTTGGCACAAGCCTAATTCAAAAACGTTCCATACATTTTCAACTTATGGGACAAATGCGCTGAGGTAATGCAAAGCGCTTATTAATGGTGCAAAAAGGCCACATAGCAACTATAAAATGCCAATGCATACCAAATCGAACAAAAATGCCGTTCTGTGACATTACTATACATGGAATATGCCGCCGGTGCAAAAGGGCCATTTATTCAAATAACATGCGAGATCTAACAAAGAGTGCCGTATTGGCATTACGGTAGCATGAAATAAGATAGCGGTGCAAAAGGACCGTATAATGAAATGTACAAAACTCT